TACTCCTGAAATCATTGTTTCACTATTTGCTAACTAATTTGGATAAGTTTTAAAAAATAAAGAATAAAATTTAAATGTTTAAAAAAAAGGCAGAAATGAATATGGACAAGAGAATATGGTCCCAACCTGGTGGAGGAAGAAGATGTGTGTTATATGTGACGATGGGAGTAAGCTATGGGCATAATGTGTCATAAAAAAATCAGTCACTTTGGGAAAGTAAGGGAAAGTTCCAGAGGAGAGATGCCCAAGTGCTGTGAGAAGCTGCCCTTTGCTTGCTCCTCCAAAGAACCAAAACTTCAAGTTAGAGACTGCATCTATAACATTTGGGTTCATTATGAGACAACAAAATCAAAGAGTGAAACATGCTGTGAAGACTGCTCAGGGGCCCCCTGTGTCAGGAGTTTCTGTTTTTGCATCAGTAGATTTCCCAGGATGTTACTCATTTCTCTTCCAGTAAATATTTGGGGCTACTGAAAATGAAAAAGTGAGCTTTTCAAAATGCCCTTTGTGATCCAACAAACAGTAATTGCTATTTCTCAGACCTTACAAGGCAAATCTGGAGAGCTATATGCAGGGCTGGCAGAGCAAGATGTGCAGTAGGAGTGTATGCAGTAGTCTAGGAGAGAGGAGTGTATACAGTAGGTGAATAGGTCTGCAGGTTGACTACAGCCTTCTGGTCAGTGCTCTGCTGGGGCTCATGGGGCCCCCTAAATGTGTCTTCCTTCTGGCGAGTCCATAGATCAGTAGCATTTCCTAATGCATGCTCTTCTCATGGCTGTACACGAAGCTCTGGAAAGGCTTGCAGTAATGTGAGATGCTTCTTTCTAGACCACTTACCTATCTTTGGTAAAGCAAGCCATGGGCCAAGCCCAGTGTCAGTTGGGGTGGGGAAGTAGATCCATCTGCCCCCTAGGGGTCACTGCAGAAGCATACACATGAAGTCCCACTGCAGGGATAAAGACAGGGGAGTGATCCACTCTTCCTACATAAACAATGAGGCATTACTTTTTATGATATCAGGTGACCTGTTATCTACCAGAGCATGGTTCTGCCGTCCCCTGATTCTCTACTGCAATGAAATCACATGTCACTTATATGTCTCCACATTGGTTTCAACTTTCTGCTTGTGACTTTGGGAAATGCTTTTTGAATGGTTTACCAATGGAACCCTCCTCCTCCAGCTCTTTAAAGACATTTACACAAGGCAACTGCTCTGAGGCAACAGGTCCAAGGGTCCCTCTGTAACATCTCGTGGGCTGCCTTTAGATGCCTAGCAGTGACATCATAGACATTCCCCCTAAGTGAACTGGAAGCAGACCTCATGGCTACATTCCACTTCACCCCCTACTCCCAGTTCCTTCTCCTACATTAGCAACAAGAGCCACAAGGGGGCATGCTGTTGGGACACAAATTCGTTACAGAAACTTTAGAACTACTACATGTTTCTTTGATTACAATAATGTGAAATTTATCTTTGTCAAAATGTGCATGATTGACTAGAGAATTCTACTTTCTGATTGTTGATTATGATAACTGTTATCATATAATTAACATAGACAGGATTGGGAATACTGCCCAGAGGGCACTGGTGTGAAGTGGTTTAGCACAACTTTACCAGTTTGGAATCAGAGAACTGTGTTCAGGTTCCAGTTTGGCCACTTATAAGATATGGGTCTCTCCATGCCTTGATTTCCTCATCTATCAATTGAAGGAATAACAAATACACCAGAAGGATGTTTGAGGATTAAATAAAATTATATGTGCATGGGGTTAGTATAGGACTTGGTCCACTGCAGGTCTAAGAAATGCTAGTTAGATGGTTATAGTTATGGTCCCAGCCACAGTAGGAGGTTCTATAGGATGGTACCCCATTTAAGATCCACAACAGTAGTCAGGGTAACTGAGGAAAAAGAGGACCAGTTAGCTGGTCATATAGGTGTAAACAAAAACATACCAGTGGGCTCAAACTCAAGGTTTTGTGGATTCTGAAGTTTACTTTGGTTTCCTTTTGAACATCCGATGCTTCTTATAGTTTGTGAAAAAAAATGCTTTGGATCTTGCAAGTCAATCACACTATGGGAAGCTTTTCTGGGCTTCCATGGATATGATTTTAGTGTTCTTTTCCTCTACAGATTCCTGTACTCCTGAACCTCAGCCAAGACCCTGAGGTCAGCCTGCCTGCACCACCACTCATGTATGCCCTGGCCCTTGGCGCCTGCCTGGGAGGTAAGGGGGTACTGATGCATGGAGGGAAGGAGTTGCTAATGCTGTAGTGAGCGTGAAGTGATGGTTAGTACATGCCAAATTGAAAGTATATTAAGGAGAGTCTGGATGATTTACAGAGTGGAAACCCATCTTCAGCTTTGAGCCAATTCTAGAACTGTTTTGTTTCTCTACAAGGCCTGTCACTTCCTACTCTCTGCAGAACTTCTCCTGACATTCCTACTTGGCAACCTGAGGACAATCATTATTGACATCTCAAAGTAAATGTGCTCCCATGCTGCATCCACACTGTACCCACACAGATGTGGTTTATATTTAGAAACATTTTGAATCAGAAGTCATCTTCAGTTGCAGTCTTATTCCCTCTGTAAGGGGTTAGGGAAGAAGTGATGAGTGGGTAAGCAAAGAACTAGAGACTCTAACCTAAGAGTAAGAAGAAAGATTAAAGATTTTTCTTTTTTGGAAATGGGTATTGTCCTTTGGAGAAATTGAAAGGTGAATTAGAGAAAGTGTCAGTAGAGACTGACCTCTGATAAGCAAACAGAAGGGCTTTGATAATCTTTTGAGGGAGCTGTATTAGAGTCCTTCTCGTATTCAGGAGGCCTAATCACCTTTGGGAACAAAAGAGGATTTTGAAGAATCTTATATAAACACACAAGATACATTTTAACTTTTTATTCTCTTATCCAAGCATGCTTAGATAATCCAGTGTGCTTTGTTCTTTGATAGATCTGTGACTATTAAATCAATAACTTTCAATTTATTTTATCTCTTTGTTTACAAAGGGGGATTAATGTTCTTCAATGAAGTGCTATGATTTCTGGAGACAGCCAATTCACCTAATTCAGCAGCTGAGATCTCAAGTTCTTATGAGACTACACACCTGTTAAAATGCCCCCATTTAAGCATTAACCCCAGGAAAAGCAATAATTGTGTTCACAGCTACATTTAACATCAGTGATAGAAACAGAACCAGAGTAACCTGGAAATGTGTCCTTTCTGTGGGAATTTGTTCATGAAACCTTCCTGAGCCTCTGCTATAACCTGACACTGTGGTCTTGACTGGGGAGATGGTCACCTAAGCTAAGGTAACACCTTAAACAGATATGTCTTCTAATGGCAGCATGCATAGAGTGCTGAGGGAGCATCAGAGAGAGAGAGTGAGAGAGAGAGAAAGAGAGAGAGAGAGAGAGAGAGGAGAGAGAGAGAGAGAGAGAGAGAGAGAGAGAGACAGACAGACTAGAGAGAAAGTCAGAAAAGGTTCTCCAGAGAAGAAAGTTTTGAGCTAGGTCTCAAGCAGTGAGAAGCCTCTAGGTAGTGCTGATTCCCCAGAACGTGTAGAAGGAATGTGGATGGGATTATCAAGGACAGAATTTAACATGGACCATTTATATGGCTATTAACCTAAAATATCAATAAACATTTGTTGACTGAGCTCCCTCTTAAAGCAGGAACACAGCTGTAATGAATCATAAATATATTAAGCCTTGGAATCTTTGTACCCTAGTAGCTCTAGTCATTGAATGATACTTGTTCCTTGATTGCAGATGCCCAGTTGTACTGAGTGTTAACTCTACACTTACTCTGTCAGGGACCCTCTCTCATTGACTCAGGGTTTGGAATTACTTTTTTGAAAAAATGTGGAAAAATGTATACGGCATACAATTGACATTTTTTACCATTTTTAAGGATGTGTAATGTTATCAGCCATTAGAGAAATGTAAATTAAAACTATAATAAGATATCATCACATACCTATAAGAATGGCTAAAATAAAAAATAGTAACAACACCAAATATTGACAAGTATGTGGGGAAACTTTAACACTTATACATTATCATTGGGGCTATATAATGGTACCATCTCTCTGGAGAATAGTTTGGCAATGTCTTAAAAAAACTAAACCTTGAAACTATCATAAAACCCAGCAATTGCACTCCTGGACATTTATTCTAGAGAAATGAAAATTTATATTCACCCAAAACCTACATATAAATGTAGGAAGCTACATTTATAGCTTGGAAGTTTATGGAAGTTTATGGAAGCTTTGTTTGTGATACCTAAAAAGTAGAAACAAACCAGATGTACTTCAATAAACTGTGTTACATCCCTACCATGGAATGCTACTCAACAATAAAAAGAAATGAAATATTGACATACATGGCAACCTTGATGAATCCTCAGGGAATTATGTAGAGTGAAAACAGTAAATCTCAAAGGTTACAGACTCCTTGTTTCCATTTATATGATATTCTTGAAATTATAAAGTTATAGAATGAAGAATCCAAAGTTATAGATTAGTGGTGGTGAGGAGTTAAGTACAGGGCAAGGTGGAAGGAAGTGGGTATGGCTATAAAAGGGTAACAGGAGAGATCATTGTGTTGATGAAAATTTTCTGTATATTGAGTGTATCAATGTCAGTATTCTGATTGTGACATAGTACTATGGTTTTGAATTCTATTACCATTGAGGAAAACTGGTAAATGGTACATGGGATCTCTTTATATTATTCCTTACAACTTCATATGAAGATAAAATTACCTCAAAATAAAACCTCAATTACAAGAATAAAAAAAGGGAAAAGCCAGAGGAAAAATTGATTAAATCCATAATTACTAAGCGAAATAAACATAGGTAGGCTGACAGAAATAAAATCAAACAAATAGCCCAGATTCTAGAGGCAAAAGTCAAAGAATAAATTACAGAAGAAAAATAATACACATAAAAGTTCATTATGGGAAATCCCATATTTAACTTCTAGAAAAATCTCAGGAAGGACAGAATGAAATGAAAGAAGGAATTTATCCAAGAAATAATAGAAGCAAATTTTCCAGAGTAAAAGCATTACATGAGTGTATACATACAAATGCCATCTTTGTGAAATTTTAGAACTCAAAGAGGCTTAGAAACTTGCCCAATGTCATACAACTACTAAATCTAAGAACTTGGAATCCACAGTAGTGACACCTAGGACCTCTTTCTCTCTACCACATGGAACCCATGCCATACATGGAATACCATCAAAAGTCTGTTAGCATCTTATTAAATTGCTGCAACAACCAATGGCATCTGAATAGTATCCTCACATTCTTAACCTTATGTGAACCCCAACTATCCTATGAGATGCCCAGGAAAAGTGGTGACTGTCCTCATTTTATTCACATGTCTCCCCTACATTTCTTCCCCAGTAATGTGAGTCAGAGACAGCCAGGTGGATTCTTGCTCTGTGTCAAAGACATTTGAGTCAAGGAGACATGAGGGAGTTATTCTGTGGGTATAGAGGGGATCCTGTTAATGATTTCCCTGATCCTGAGAACAAACCGTAGGCAAGAGACTGGTCCTACTTCTTTCTCTGGATACTGTCCCCTGTCATGTGGTAATGAGATACCTGGAGTCATTTCCAGCCTGAGTGTGGGGCCAAGACAGTGTTGATGAGTGGCAGAGCACACAGGTGGAGATAACTGGTCCTGGACAATGCAAATGAGCTCTGAAACAAACAATGAGTCCTGATTTGCTCCACTTTTGACTCCCTGTCATAACACCTATATTACCAACACCTTCCTGTTTTGCATCTTCCTTTCCTTACAACCCAAACCATTTTAATCAATATAACAGAGCTGGTCAGTGACTACTCATGGTTATACAGCTTAGCAGATTTGGATTTTGATGGAGGTCTTCAGAACCAAATCTAGCATTCTTTCCACTATGCCCACTGATATACTCTATTTCCAATGTTTGTGCAGGACCTATGGTCTGGCTGACCCAACACTGCTCCCACTCTCTTCTCTGTTGTGTCCCTCTACTGTAATAGTTGCTCTGGTAGCTCATCTACTCTGCTTGTCTCATTTTGATGACCAATAAGACATGAGGGAAACCTGTTTTGGAGCCTGTTGACATAGATTTTGCCCTTCTGATAAAAATGCATTGGTATCAGTTCCTCTTCATGCTTCCAACCTTAGATATAACAACCATAAAACCATCTGTGATGGGAGGGAGAGGCCAAGAGAATTATGAAGACCTGCCTCTGACATTACTTAAGAGACACTGAACTGATTCTCCAGACCTCTGCCCCAAGCCTTCTTGTTACAAGGGAGGAGATTATTTCCCTTTGTATGTAAACCAGTGTTAGCTAGGTTTTCTGTTACCCATAGTTGAAAGCATTCTTAAAAGAAATTTAATAAATTAATGTACCACCTTCCAGTTTACAAGGCATTAAGGAGGCTGAATGCAAAGGGATGACTGAAAGGCAGGTCTGGGGGAATGAGGCCAGGGTGTGAAGACATATCCCAGTGCAAAAAGGGCTTTTGGGGAATAGCAATCCCCATTGTGCCATCCGTGCTACATTCCTAAAAAGGTGGATAGGAGTGAAATGTACAAAAGCTGAGCAACTGCTATACATGAGAGAAATCAGCCCAGCCCTTGCTCATTTCTCTGTCTCATCTTCCCTCTAAGGAAAGAGTTTGAATCATGGGGCTCTTCACTTTACCTCTCTGTCCCCACCCAGCCCTACTCTTCCTGCCCAAGTTGTCATGCAGCCAGAAGACCAAGCTGCTGTCCTTTCCCTTCCCTTCCATTCCCCAAATCTGGAATTGTTCAGGAACAAATTTACCTACTGAGCCAGTGCACCTTGGCAACATGAGGGACTTTCATTTTTTTGGCAAGTGGCACATTGCAGTTGAGGAATTCATACCAACTCCAGTATGATGAGATGCTATTGATCTAGGGAATGCCATCTTAACTGGAAAAAAGGGGTATTTTTTCAATTATGAATCATTAACAGGAGAGAAGAAAAGTATTGCTTTTTAGTTTTGGAGCTCACACAGGTTGCTGAATGTGCCCCTGGATCATGTGTTTAAACTCCATAAAATCCAGAAGCAGAGGTCTCCATGTTAAGTCCTGGAGTAGCAGTGTTTGGGAATGGCAGGGCAGGTACCGTCCAGGCACTGAGGTGTGTGCCCTGCAATGGAGACTGGTAGGCAGGGTCTTCTGAGGATCATGGGCTT